GAAAAAGTAAGAACCAAAATTCAGGGAAACCAAAGAATCTGCAAAGTAAACTGTCCAAGAAATGGACTTGGATGAAAATACGGTGGCCCCAAAACGCCAAAAATCGGAAGATACAACACAAGCTAAAGACAAGAATAACAACAAAGACAACAAAGGTAAAAGCTATGCACATTTTGTCATTCTTGGTCGATCCGGCGGAGTTACAGAAAATTGAAAGTAGAATTGTGTCAGTCTTTATGGTCGACAAGCGTTCGCGAAAAAAAACTTGTCGCTCTAGAAAAGACCCCACGATCAAATTATTAAAGCCCCTAAAAGAATTATTAAAGGAAAGGGATATTTCATGTAGTGAATACTGTTGCAGACAGTGAAGAAGCATCCAGTCGGGATTTAAACATTAAAAACCTCATTTTAAGAAAATAATTTGAGGACCGGTATAGAACCTACATTTATGTATAATAGGTCCCTCCTATAATTGTGGGTGAGAACTTGGACTCTTATCTTGCTAAATTTTGGAAGACACTCAGTGATTCCGCCGACGACATGAACGAGGGATAGAGTTCCGAGATAATGATGGATCGTAAGGCTTTCGTCTGTATCCCCAACCGTCCGTACACCAAATGCGGAGAGACCAGTCACCTCCTCCATTCCCAGAGAAAAAGGCTTCTGATTTTCTCGTCCCAGTCAACTCAATACCTACATTGGGTGAATCTGTTCTTTCCGTTTCTCCTGTAATAGATATGACAGCGACTGGGACCAGCGTGGTAAAACCCCCGATTCGATCCATCTTCAGACCCCATTTCCTAAAAGCCTTCTTTGTTGCGGTTGTAAAGAAAGAAAAGGGGGAATGGCAAGTCGTTTTCAGGACCAAAGGGAATATCCAAGTAACGGGACCTCGTTCCAAAGTAGCCCCCTAAATGTCATACAGACCCACTCCCTCTATCAGTTGCAAGGGCGATTCTACGGCCAGCTATGCCGAACAATTAAGTCAACGGCGTAAATATGAGCCTAGTTTTGAAAAGGCAGAGAAATTACAACAATTGAAGGAGGTTTTGACATCCAAACGTCAGCAGTTCGCAATGGGAGCCTTTATTTGGAACGGACACTAGAGAGAAAGAAAGAAAGAGACATGACTTTTAAAGGAATATGTTAAAGCCTTATTTTGACTTGAATTCTTTCTTTTTTGATTATATAAATAACTTTTTTAAATGTGAATTAAGTTTGAGAGTCTAATGAGCTTTTCCTTTTCTTTCAGATTTAAGAACGTACGTCTTTGGCCATTTCAACCATTGAAATATTAACAATCAAACAACGTGTTAAATTAATCGAAGCCTATTACAAAAATTGACGTTCAAACAGAAATGCACTTCTCGCACTACCCAGGTCACACATCTCTCGAAACAGCGAAGTCAATTGGTCACCATGATCTTGCGACTGGACGCCTTTATCTTTCTTCTTTTGGGGTTATCTCAAAAGTAAAGTCGATGTTAACAAGCCAAAAATATTTGAACATATGAAGTATGAGATAAGAAGACCTATTGGTGAGATCGAGGATCAACTATGCAGAGACGACATCAAAAATTTGACCATCGATTGGAGGTGTGCTGCAGTAACCTTGGCAAAACTTTGGGTGATATTATTTTTTTACACATAATTGCTTTGACTTAAATAACATGATCCAGTAGAGAAATAAATTACTTTCCACCAATAACACTGATGTATTTACTGCTGACTTTGTTCTGTCTTAATGAAACACACTTTATATATATATATATATATATATATATATATATATATATATATATATATATATATATATATTTTATCTCTATCTCTTTTCATTATATACTCTCTTATACCCACTAAGCGTCTAATGATATTTATTTTTCTTTCAGATTTGTCGGACATTTGGGCGATGCTATTTTTCACATATAATTACCATGGCTTAAATCACATGATCCAATAAATAAATAAATAAATTTCCACCAATAACATTGATTTATTTACTGCTGACTTTGATCTTTCTTAAAGAAACAAACTTTATATATACATACATACATACACACACACACACACACACATATATATATATATATATATATATGGTTGGATATATGTGAGTTTGTCACCCTGGGTTTCACGCTTTAGCGATCGTCAGACAAACTGATTATTTTTTTAAAAATTTTGGGTTTATGTAGATTCCGTGTATTGGTGTTATTGTGGAAGTGGTGGGGGAAACTCCGTCGTTCTGTCATCGTACTAACGCAAACATCGATGTATGCAGACACATATACATACTTGGTCGTCCGTCGGGACTCATACATATATAAACATATGTGGGCAGATTCGGATATGACATATGTATGTATACGGGTGGTGTTGTGTCTATACATATGCATTTGTATGTAGAAATTCAAAGATTGGGAGAGTAGCGAAAATTTCTCGTGAATCTCTAGTGAATGTATACATGTCATATTTTTATTTTTCCAGTGAATAAATTTCC